CAGATGACCCTGCCGACAGTCATGTATGTTGACTGGGTATATGTGCATTCAGTTTAATGTTAATGCAGCGCCTGTAGTTAAGAGAAAAGCATGTTGGCATGTTGAGGATATTATAATGGCACACAGCCAAATTTCTGCAGACACGCAAAGCACTAGTGCTGACAGATACTGGCTTTTAGGCTTTATAGAGTTAAAGTCAAAATTATTCGCCCTTCTGTATATTTTCTTTTTTAAATATTTCCCAAATGATGTTTAGCAGAGCAAGGAATTTTTCACAGTATTTCCTATTATATTTTTTTCTTCTGGAGAAAGTGTTATTTGTTTTACTTCAGATAGAATAAAAGCAGTTTTGAATTTTTTAAAACTATTTTAAGGTCAACATTATTAACCCTCTTAAGCTATATATATTTTTGATTGTCTACAGAACAAACCAATATTATACAATGACTTGCCTAATTACACTATCCTGCCTAACCAAATATCCTAGTTAAGCCTATAAATATCACTTTAAGTTGAAAATATTGTATTATATTATGTACTATAATCATACGTATATATATATATATATATATATATATATATATATATATATATATATATATATATATATATATATATATATATATATAATCAAATATAAATATATTATTTCTGACTACAAGCGTCTTAATGTCTCTGTCTGAGGTGTGCACGAGTTTCATTTTAACACTTTTGTTTCCTTCCTCTTCATGTTTTCTTCTTTGTGGCTTTGCTGAAACAACTAATCCATTAAATGTGGACACCCTGTTTCTCAGAAAGCCACGAGGAGTGAAAAGATTGGACACAATATTAAGCAGAGCTAAAAAAAAATAAATAAATCGTTATGATGCACAAGGTTTCCCTCAAACTGCACAGTGATGATACACTACAAATATTCTTGGCATTAATATATTAGGTGGAACATATTTCCTGCCACTCTCATTATCAATATAGATCTGAAATCTGTGTGCTGAGTTTTTTTTTTAATAGTTTCTGTTTTTAGAAATCACACTTGGGATCTATTGAGGATAGTCCTGTCACAAAGGTCAATGTACGGATTTACTGCACAACACATGGACATTACCTCAATCATTTTTAGTAATGCAATATATATCGCCCATGTAGAAAAACACATTCTAGCAACAGTTTTGCTGATTGTGCAACATCTCTATGCTGTGAAACCTGATAAGTTAACTCAAACTGTTTGAGGAAACCAATTGTGGCAAACCGTTTGAGTTTTGAAACTAAACGGTTTGATTATTTTAAACTTGATATATATTGAATCATTCATTCATTAATTCAATCAATTTCTTTTCGGTTTAGTCCCTTTATTAATTATGAAAAAATATATATTTTAAACGTTTCTTTTACATAAAATATATTGTGTTCAAAGGGGAAACGAGTTGTAGTTTTTTTACCCAGACAATTAAAAATATTATAATTTAGAGCAGTAATCTCAATACCTTGAAACCGTGATATTTTTATACAAGGATATAATTGTGTCAGAATCTTTTACCGGCCCATGCCTATATCTGAGACTTTTATTTTGAAATTGCGAGCATTCATTTATTTACTGTGCCTTACTAGCCTTACTGGGCAACGACGGCACGAGGCATGTTTAAACTGGCCTCAGGATACAAAATGCAAGATTTACAGATTATACATTTATTCATCTCCACACTGTAGAGCAGTGGTCACCAAACTTGTTCCTGGAGGGCCGGTGTCCTGTAGATTTTAGCTCCAACCCTAATCAAACACACCTGAACAAGCTAATCAAGGTCTTACTAGGTATACTTGAAACATCCAGGCAGGTGTGCTGAAGAAAGTTGGAGCTAATCCCTGCAGGGACAGCGGCCCTCCAGGACCATGATTGGTGAACCCTGCTGTAGAGGCATAAGGTATTTTAGTCACAACTTTTTGTTATGTATCGTGTTTATTCTGATATTTGATGCGTCTCAACAAATACATGTAATACTGCTGAATTGACCCTTCGCTAAGCCACACCTAAAAACCGCCATCCACTAATCGTGGCTTAGCAACCATAGCTACGCGCAGGGGCTCTGTCAAGCTTTCGAGCGAGGGAAGCAGACCAGAGCGTTGTGCATTAGGATTGTGCAAATCGTATCTGTAAAGTTTGGACGGGATGGTGGAATTTTTTCCCTTTTCAAAACCAAAAACCCAAAAGAAGAAATGCCAGCGTGGATCAAGCAGTGTGAGGGGCGCTGTAGGAGCGGAGATAAGTTAGTTTTGTTTTGATATTCCTGACACATTCAGTGATAGACAGGTGGCAATAACTCACACACCCCTTACCCTTAACAGATCTAAACTGTTTCCTACAAAAAACACAAAGCTGGTTGTGTTTCACAGCTGTCTTTTTCTTTTTTTTTCACTTGTTATTATGAGTAACTTTAATGCTCCGTTTAAGCCTTCGCCATATAGTAACGTTAGTCTAATACCGAATAGGTCATATGAGTTATTGATCCGGAAAATACGAATCTGCGAATCTGTTGCTAACTTTACTGAACTTCATATTTCCATCTGTTTCAAGCTACGAAGATTTGAAATTACAAATCAACTGACCAAAACCGAGATATGATCACAAACTGAACACCTGCGATCATACTTTACCAGCAGCTGTTTTTCAGTCATTTATAAAGAGCACACAAACATACTGACAGTTATAGGTAACTTTAACTGTACATTGTTATTATGGGTCAATGATGCGCAAATCTATCAGTTTACCTTTCTGGCTGTTCTTTCTATGAATGCATGATGTAGAAGTACTGTCCATGCATGTTTCCTCGTGGGTTGGTAAGGCTATTTTTCATTGCACACCAATTAATCTATCATGCTTTTTGGCTAAAAATAGAGAAATCACGGTTTAATTTGTTATTATTTGATTAATTTTAAATTTCACCTCTCCTGCTGAGCATAAGCTAATTATTCTGTAATCAGTTGCCTATTATGTCATGAATATACCCCTGTAATGCATACTGTAGTCCTTTTTTGTCTGGCCTTCTCGAATATTTCACCTGTTCGCCAAAACTGACGTTATATCCCTGACAATGTCTGAAACTGGCGCTTACACATTGTAAAAGCCGTGCCAGGCACGAAAGCTTGACAGGCGTTGCAACAGTAACTAAGGAGGGCGGGGCTTAAGGAAGGGTCAATTGTTTCAAATCAGTCAGCTCAACTGTCATCTGTTCGTGTTGATGCAGAGGTTGGCTGTGTTTTCTTTGACTGTAGCTTCAAAACACAATGCACTACTTCTCTGTCACTCTCTTTTTTCAAGTTTAAATATAATGTAGACTTTATCCACAACAGATCTGATGAGCAAAATAGGTTAACGTTACTCTGATTGGGTTTACATTTATCCGTGTTCACCACCATGGTGTGTGTGTGTGTGTGTGTGTGTGTGTGTAAGAGCAGCTGAGCTCATTAATATTCATAACATGAGCCATATTGTTTTAAGATTTGTTGAACTTACCAAAGCCATAAACCTACTATGCAGATATCAGAGAACAATTTGACTTATTAATCCAATGCAGTATATGGCACCTTTAAAATATACAACAATCTCTTCCCATTTGCTTTTAATGTAATGCTAAATGGTTTGTTAAGGGTTGCTTAATTGTCACTGTAACATAAAGTTGAAATTAGAATTATTAGCCCCCCTTTGAATTTTTTTCCCAAATGATGTTTAACAGAGTAAGGAAAATTTCACAGTATGTCTGATAATATTTTTTTCTTTTGGAGAAAGTCTTATTTGTTTTATTTCGGCTAGAATTAAAGCCGTTTTTAAACTTTTAGGTCTATTATTAGCCCCTTTAAGCTATATTTTTTCGATAGTCTACAAAACAAACTATCGTTATAAAATAACTTGCCTAATTACCCTAACCTGCCTAGTTAACTTAATTAACCCAGTTAAGCATTTAAATGTCACTTTAAGCTGTATAGAAGTGTCTTGAAAAATATCTAGTCAAATATTATTTACTCTCATCATGGATGGCAAAGATAAAATTAATCAGCTAGAGATGAGTTAGTAAAACTATTATATTTAGAAATGTGTTGAAGAAATCTTCTCTCAGGTAAACAGAAATTGGGGAAAAATAAAGGGGTGGGGGTGGGGGGGGCTGATAATTTAGGAGGTTTAATAATTCTGACTTTGACTGTAATTACACAAAAATATATAACAGAGCTTTAGACCTTAAAGGGACAGTCCACCCTAATATTTTATTTTTGTAATCAATTTGCTTGTAAAACCCTTTGCTTGTTTCAAACCTTTACGTTGTTTACAAACCTTTAGATACTTTCTTCTGTCAAACACAAAAGCAGATATTTTGAAGAATGCTGAAAACATGTAACCATTGACTTCCATAGTATTTATTTTTCCTACTATGGAATTCAATGGTTAAAGTATCTTCTTTTGTGTTTAATAAAGGTTTGGAAACAATTATAATGAGTGAATACTTTAATTCTCTTTAACGAACTATTCATTGAACTATCCGTTTCATTTATATCCCTTTAAGAACTTTTTGAACTTCAACTCTGAAAACAGGACTGAAGCAGTTTCAAATAACTAGAAGCTGCATTAACACAGTCTACATTGTAAAAGTGCTATATATGAAGATGAATTGAATTGAATTTAACATGTTGCGGTGTCACCAACCTGATTTCACCAAGAAGGACATGTTTAGGGATTAACATCTATGTTGATCCTGGAACAACATTCCAATCAGCCAATCAGAATTAAGAGATAAGTTTACCATGTTAAGTTTTGGCTTACGGTTAGGGTTATGCACTTCTACATGATTGTCATCCAACTATTTTTCTCCTCTGACTGAATAATATACAGTTATGGTTGGGTTTAGGGCTAGGGAAAAGGTATGGATTACAAAAATGATCCAGGATCAACATAGATGTTAATCCTTCATTGCATCGTACTTGGCAAAATCACAACGTTCTTGTGGTGTTCTTTTCAGAGTGATCATGGCCGTGTGGATTCAGGCCCAGCAGCTGCAGGGAGATGCTCTACACCAGATGCAGTCTCTCTATGGCCAACACTTCCCCATAGAGGTGCGACACTACCTGTCCCAGTGGATAGAGGGACAACTCTGGTAAGTCACAAGTTCACTAACCACATTTACATCATTTAAAAAAATCTTCTGGTGTTTTTAAACATGTCCGTCTGTCTTCTGTCAGGGACGCAATAGATTTAGAGAACCCTCAAGAGGAGCTTAAAGCCAAGCGCTTGTTGGACAGCCTGATTCAGGAACTACAGAAGAAAGCAGAGCATCAAGTCGGAGAGGATGGATTCTTACTCAAGATTAAATTAGGACATTACGCTTCACAGCTAAAGGTTGGGCTTGTTTTTTATATATTGAAAATATTAGCTAAAAAAGTGATCAATTAAAAATAACGATTGTAAAATTTACGATTATAGATAGAGAAATAAAAAAATTATGTTAAAGAGGCAGATGTTGACAAACAGTATATCAGTGCATGTTAATAAAGAACAGGTTGGTCAGGAAAGTGCAGTCTCAGTGTTTACTGTCATTACTGCTGCACATATATTTGTGTGTGTTCAAGTAAAACAAGACAGAGTAAATGGAGCTGTGTGCATGTGTGTATCATTCAATTCTGGTTGTGAATATGTGTGTGTTTTCAGAGCACGTATGACCGCTGTCCGCTGGAGCTGGTGAGATGCATCAAACACATCCTTTACACGGAGCAGAGACTCGTCAGAGAGGCCACTAATGTGAGTGTGTGACACGGAGTTCACTATCATTACATTAGCACAGTTCACTTGGATGTCAGCTGATTTCAGATGAACATTATCTTCTCTTCTGGCTTTGTTCTGAAAACAGTATAAATATATTATATAATATATACACAAATCCAATTCGTGAACTCAAAACAGCATTTGTAAACGCACTAATCCAATTTGTAAATTCAAGGCACGATTAGTAAATACAAAAATCTCATTCATAAGTTTAAAACATGATTTGTAAATGCACAAATGTAATATGTAAGTTCAAAGCACGATTCGTAAATACACAAATCCAATTCATAAGATCAAAACACGATTCATAAATACACAAATGTAATATGTAAGTTCAAAACACGATTCAAAATCACACAAGTCTAATATGTAAGTTCCAAACACGATTCGTAAATGCACAAATCCAATTCATAAACTCAAAACACGATTCGGAAATACCCAAATCCAATTTGTAAGTTCAAAACACGATTATTTAATATGCAAATCCAGTTCATAAGTTTAAAACACGATTTGTAAACATGCAAATCCAATTTGTTAGTTCAAAACACGATTAATAACATACACAAATCCAATTCAGAAATTCAAAACACGATTCAAAATACACAAATCCACTTTATAAGTTCAAAAAATTATTAAAAAATGCACAAATCTAATCTGTAAGTTCCAAACACAATTCGTAAACACAAATTCAATTCAGAAATTCAAATCACTTCTCGTAAACATGCAAATCCAATTCGTCAATTTAAAGGGCACCTATGGTGAAAAATCTACTTTTAAAGCTGTTTTGACATACGTGTGTAAGAATAGTACTGTCATATTGGGGTGAAATAAACACACCTAGTCCTTTTTTTTCAAATTTAACAACATAAAAACGGTGGACCAATTGGAGCGGTTTTCAGACCGACCGCAACTTGACGTAGGAGTGCTGTCCCCCGCCCACCAATATTGATTGACAGCTGCGGGCATTAACATGTCTCTGTAGTAATGCAAATAATTATATCAACAAGACAGGACGAGCGCAAAGCAACCGGGAATAAAAGGTCTGTTCAGTTTGCTAGGATCATTAATCATCATCAGACGTGATCAAGAGTGAGTTTTACAAGTTTAACATGTTTTAAAACGTGTGCACGTGTGAAGTACAGTGAAGTACAGCGATTCACTTCCGATTCACTTCATCAGCACAGCCGCGTGTCTCTCTCACTGTCTCTCTGTGTGTGTGTGTGTGTGTGTGTGTGTGTGTGTGTGTGTGTGTGTGTGTTTGTCTGCGCTATGTATGTATGTGTGTGTGTGTCTGCGTGTCTACCCTATGTATGTGTGTGTGTCTGCGCTAAGTGTCTGTGCTATATGTGTGTGTGTGTGTCTGTGTGTCTACGCTATGTATATGTGTGTGTGTCTGCGCTACGTGTCTGTGCTATGTGTTTGTGTGGGTGTGTGTGCGTGAACTCATTGTTGCAACTCCACAAAAAAATGCATCAAATAGTTCTTAATGTTGTATTTCTCACAAATGTTACGTGAGATCTGCTTCCTGAGGCAGCCAAGGGCGTGTTGAGGCATGTTGCTGACTGGCACGTGGGAACGGTGGGCGGGGATGACTAGCCTTAAAGGCCCAGTGCAAAAAAAACGCAACAACCTTTTCCCAGCTATAATACAGACACTTCAAACAGCTATAATAAATACTCTGATGGGTTTTTTGAGCTTAAACTTTACAGACACATTCTGGGGACACAAAAGACTTATAATAAATATGAAAAAAGGTGTCACCTATATGCCCTTTAAAACACGATTAATAAATACACAAATCCAATTTGTAAGTTCAGAACACAATTCAAAAATACACAAATTTAATTTGTAAGTTCAAAACACTCTTTTATTCATTCATTCATTCATTTTCTTGTCGGCTTAGTCCCCTTATTAATCCGGGGTCGCCACAGCGGAATGAACTGCCAACTGCCAGATGATGCCCTTCCAGCCGCAACCCATCTCTGGGGAAAAAAAACACTTTTTGTAAAAGTACAAATCCAATTCATAATATCAAAACACGATTAAAAAATACACAAGTCTAATCTGTAAGTTCAAACACGATTCGTAATAACAGAAATTAAATTCGTAAATTCAAAACACAATTCATTGTATACACAAATCCAACTCGTAAATTCAAAACACAGTTCATAATATACACAAATCAAACTCGTCAATTCAAAACACTCTTCGTAAATACACAATTTGTATATATTTAAAACACAATTCAAAAATACACAAATCCACTTTGTAAGTTAAAAAAGATTCAATAATACGCACATCCAATTCATTAATTCAAAACAAGATTCAAAAATACACAAATCCAATTCGTAAATTTAAAACACAATTCATAAATAAACAAATCTAATCTAAGTTCAAAACATGATTCGTAAATACTCAAATCCAATTCTGAAATTCAAAACAGTCTTTGTAAAAACACAAATCCAATTTGTAAGATCAGAACACGATTTATAACATTCACAAATCCAATTCATTTTGGGAAATTATGGAAAATTATGATTTTTACTTTTGAATTCAGAAATTGCGTGTGGTATTTATGAGATGTGTTTTGAATTTACAAATTGAATGTTGTAAATGTAAATTGTGCTTTGCATGTATAAATTTTTTTGTAAATGTATTATTTTTCAGACTGATCTGGCTCAATTTAAAAACATTATTTAATTTTTAAAATGTATAAGACAAAAATCACAAAATGACATTTAACACAATATGTGGAAACCCAGATTGTTCCAGAGTGCGTGATTCATTTCACAGAACTCATAATTTTGCTTCCCTCATAATTTTACAGTACGTTCCTGTGATTTATGAACACTGTACTGCATTATTTCTCACATTATAAAAAGAAATAACTGCGGTCTCCTTCTGGTTTAAATCATTGCCATTGTTCATATGTGCGTCAGTCATGCCTCACAGACTGGAGTTCAGTGAGTGCAGTCAACTCCTAGAAGCATCATAGATAATAAACAGGGCTACTGTACTGTACCTGAGACTGACTTTTACGATCTTCACAAATAAAACGTGCACGATTGCTTTGGATAAAACACAGACAAATCTCCTCCCTACACTCAAATTCATGATATCTGTAAAGCCCAAGCTACTTTTTATGGGAGTAAAAGAGGAAATGTCGGATTTTATCAACTAAACTCACAAACCATAAAATCATAAAACCTAAAGATGATATCAATAAATCATGAAGCTCGTGAAATGCCCACTCATGTTCTCAGATTTGTACAGTACGATCTATCAAATGTGTTCATATGCCATTCATGTGCTATATACATAATATTTAGTTTGTTTAAACACACACACACATGCACTCAGGCATAAAGGAGAAACCTCAGTCATGTTGGTTATCCACACACAATGGGGCTGACATGATAACCTAAAAATAAAATACAAATATGTAAATTAGCTGGTTTTGTTTTATTTAGCAGAATATTAAGGACGATTTCTAAATCTGAGTTGCTCCTTAATTCATAAACTACAAGAGTGAAAAAAAATATATGTACAATCAAAATCAACGAATACTCTTTTTGTCTTAAAGGGAATAACATCAAAAACATGTGCATTTACTACAGTATAAACAACATCACTGCACACATATTGTGGTGGATGCTAATATACAGTGGTTATTGTTATAGTTATCATTATTGCTGTGCATTTACATTGTATAATGACATTTTGGTTTGTATGATTTATGTTTGAAAACTAGATGTTCCCATATTTAAAACCCATACAGTAATAAATACACCGTCAAATCTATTGTGATCCTAATGTACAATAAATATGTATTAGCTAATCTATGTATTTTTAAAATTTTAAATACGTATATTTTCTACAAGTCCATTTCTTGACCATTTATAAGACAACATTATTAGCTCTCCTGTGAAATTGTAATGTTTTTTCTAATATTTCCGAAGTGATGTTTAACAGAGCAAAAACTTTTTCCAGTATTTGCTCTTCATTTTTTTTCTTTCTGGAAAAAGTCTTTTTTTTCAGTTTGGCTGGATTAAAATCAGTTTTTTGCATTTAAAAGTATGTGTATTTTTATGCTCAATATTATTAGCCCCCTTAGGAAATTATCATTTTTTCGCTTGGCTAAGCAACAACCATTGTTGTCCAATAAATGGCCTAGCTGACCTAATTCATCTAGGTTAACCTCTATTAACCTTAAATTAACTTTTTATCTCATTCATTCGTTCATTTTCTTTTCGGCTTAGTCCCTTTATTAATCTGGGGTCGCCACAGCAGAATGAACCGCCAACTTATCCAGCATATGTTTTATGAAGAGGATGCCCTTCCAGCTGCAACCCATCTCTGGGAAACATCCATACACGCTCATTCACACTCATACACTACGGACAATTTAGCCTACCCAATTCACCTGTACCACATGCCTTTCGACTGTGCGGGAAACCGAAGCGCCTGAAGAAAACCCATGCGGACACTGAGAGAACATGCAAACTCACACAGAAAAAGCGAACTGACCCAGCCGAGGCTCGAACCGCCGATCTTCTTGCTGTGGGGCTACAGCACTACCTACTGCACCACCGCATCGCCACTTTTAAACTAAAATCTAGCAAAATAACTGGTGAAATATTATGTACTGCCACATGTTAAGACAAAAGAAATTAGTAATTAGAAATGTGTTACTTGGAAAAAGCATACATTTTTTTGATAAATAATGAATAAAAAATCTTAAATTTTAAAGTGATAAATTGACTTATTTGCCACTGATTACAACAATCATAGTTATAATTTGTATAGTTGTACTTCATATATACAGTATATATATGAATATATATATATGTTGTTGGCATTTGTTGTTAGTGTCCCACCAGTGATGATATACACCCACATCACACTGCTTTGAGTGTGATATTGCATTTCTTACACAGTTCGACGGCATAATCATGTATAAAAAACTCAGAATCTCAAAATCCTTTTGTATGAGGAACTACTTTCTTCCGCCATTCATCCACATCTGCAGTGACTGTGAGAACAGCAGAAACTGTTGCTCATTCACTAACATAACTTTAGAACAAGTATTTGAATGATTCTTTAGTGTAATGTCTAAAGTGATGACAAAACGGGTGATTTTTGCTCACATTTTAAGATTATAAGGCCGAACGGCATGAAATGCCATCAGTTTACAGAATTTTCCCAGTATTTCTCTGTTGCAATCAGGAGATCACAATAATTAACCCTGAAAAAGCCATAGCAAAGCAGCGCGGAAGCTTCCCGATAACTATTGTGTTTAAAAGGAAAAACGCAAAACACATGCGGGCATTTCTTCTTTCTTTCTGTTTACTGATTTAGTCTGCAGTAATGAAAACATGAGACGCATGAGAAACAAAGATGGCCAACCAAAAAGTAACTCAGGGTTATACAAAGAGTGAAGAGTGGTCAACACAAAATACATACATTCCTAATATGTGAGTCCCATCTCACACACTACAATTATATGGTATAAATTCAGCACTACAACATACAAAACAGAGAGATCGACTTAGAAAGTCACTTACCAGTTTTATAATGGTGTGATCAGCTGTAGTTTAAAAATACGCTGAGTTTTTCCTCCTCTAAGAGCTTATTATGCAGGCTCCGTCGCCATCTCGTGGATGGACAACATCAACCGTCTTTATTAAAAAAGACAGTCTTTACTCAAAGACAGACTGATGGCCGCCGATGCACTCTGTCAGAAATATTAAATATTTTAAGATAGGCCTTATCCTAATGAATAAACTGCATAGCTGGAATCTAAACAACTACATTGTCGACTAATAAAATATTACACGGCTATCAGCCAATCAAATCCATACAGCGCTTTTGTGTCTAAATATATACATGAACAGAATAATTTTTTATTTAATTTCATTGCGTGTCGTGTTTATTATTTAGAAATGTATGCATAATATATTTGAATTATTTTTTACTTTATGAGAATTGGCATGTTTCTTTGCATTCTCCGGAAATGTTCTGATCATAATTTGTCTTAATTTTAATACATTTTTTCATGATTTTACAGTCGAGTTCACCGGTGGGCGGGTTAATGGACAGCATGTCACAGAAATACCACCAGATAAACCAGGCCTTCGAGGAGCTGCGAATACTGACTCAGGACACAGAGAACGACCTCAGAAAACTACAGCACACACAGGAGTACTTCATTATACAATACCAGGAGAGCCTCAGAATACAGGGTATGCGTGTATATACAGTATATATACAGTTGAAGTCAAAATGATTAGCCCTTCTCTACATTTTTTATGTATTTTTTCAATATTTTCCCAAATGATGTTTAACGGAGCCAGGAATTGTTGACAGTATTTCCTATAATATTTTTTCTTCTGGAGAAAGTCTTATTTGTTTTATTTCAGCTCGAATTTTAACCATTATATGGTCCATTATAACCATTATAAGGTCAAAATTATGAGCCCCTTTAAGCTATACAGTTGAAGTCAGAATTATTAGCCCCCCTGAATTATTAGCACCCCTGTTTATTTTTTTCTCCAATTTCTGTTTAATGGAGGGAAGATTTTTTTCAGCACATTTCTAAGCAAAATAGTTTTAAAAACCTATTTCTAATACCTGATTTGTTTTATATTTGCCATGATGACAGTAAATTATATTTTACTTGATTATTTTTTAAGACACTTCTATACAGTTGAAAGTGACATTTAGAGGCTTAACTAGGTTAATAAGGTGAACTAGTCAGGTTAGGGTAATTAGGCAAGTTATTCTATAACGATAGTTTGTTCTGTACACTATCGAAAAAAATTACCTTAAAGGGGCTAATAATTTTGTCCCAAAATTGATTTTTTAAAAATTAAAAACTGCTTTTATTCTAACCGAAATAAAACAAATAAGACTTTCTGTAGAAGAAAAAATATTATCAGACATACTGTGAAAATTTCCTTGCTCTGTTAAACATAATTTGGAAACTATTTAAAAATGAAAAAATAATTCAAAGGGGGGCTAATAATTCTGACTTTAACTGTATATTTTTTAATTGTCTACAGAACAAACCATTGTTATACAATTATTTGCCTAATTACCCTAACTTGCCTAGTTACCCACATTAGGCTTTTAAATGTCACTTTAAAGTGAATACTAGTTTGTTGAAATATATCTGGTCAAATATTATTTACTGTCATCATGACAAAGATAAAATAAATCATTTATTAGTAATTAGTTTTTAAAACTATTATGTTTAGAAATGTTAAACAGAATTTGGGGGAAAAGCATTCAGGAGGGCTAATAATTCAGACTTCAACTGTATATGGTTCATCAACTCACATCTACATCTGCACTCATACCATGATGCATTTATCTTAAGTGATGTACAAGATATTCCTTTTTTCACATATGCACTCTCTTTTTCTATTGCTGGATTCACTCACGATAGAACATTCATGCATTACCAGCATACTAGTTATGTGCTTGCATACATACCTTTTTAGCATTCAGTACATGATGCTGCAAAAAGTCCTCATTAAAATAGCATATGTGCTCCCATAATACTTGGGTATGCTGTTGAATAATCAAACAGGTCTGAATTCAGTCCTCTTGGGCCAATACTACATTTTGCAGAATAAAAGTGCATTTTGTTTTCAAATCTGAATCCTGCTCAGGGCTATGATCCAAGATGGTTTATATAATTGAATTAATATCTCAACTAAGCTTTGGTGCTGAGATTGATATTTAAAGTTTGACATGTGCATTGTCCATTGCAGAGGGTGAGACGTAGGATAGCTCCTCCCCTTTAAAAAAAACAGCCAATAGCATTTGGTTTTATCACAGCTCTGCCACTGATCATTGTAAGACAGGACTTGCTGTATGAAATTTGTAAAAAATGTATATATATTATGAACAGAACTTGCTAGAAGTCACCTTTTCATTCTGTCTCATACTGAGCAAGAATATGGCATATTTGTGTGTTAATTTGTCTGTGTGTGTGTGTGTGTGTGTTGTGTGCAGCTCAGTTATCGAGTCTGGCGACACTGCCTCCAGCAGACCGACAGCTACGAGAGCCTAGCCTGCTCAGCAAGAGAGCCACAGTTGAGGCCTGGCTGACCCGAGAAGCTAACACCCTGCAGAAATACAGACTGGTACACACACACACATACAAACGCACAAAATGAATGGTTTGCAGAGCATTCACTTAATTAGGCATCTTAATGTCTTAATCGTTTGTAAAATAGGGTATATGCCGAGCTGGTGTTTTTTTTTTTCTCATACTGATAAACTTCCGGTGATCGGTTAACATGACTTTTTTTCATTTTATACGGTTCCTTTTACAGCATTGATGTTGTAATGTGATTAAAATACAGTCAGTTAAATAAACTTTGGCATTCATTTAGTTGCTCAAAGGTAAAATGAGATGAAAAGCTGTTTATATGCATGCAACCGTCAGTATAAGCAGGCTAGCGCAGAAGCTCCATTGAATATACCGGGGTAAAATAAATGTTCCTATTTTAAAGACATAGGGGAGGAAAATGTAATTTAATGCATTGCTTCTTGTACATTCTGAGAACCACTTTATATCGGATATCACTCAGCTAAGGAAGATCACTGTCTTTTCAAGAAATCAGATCTTAAACGTGACGATTTTAAACGGAAGTGTTTGACCCCGGTTATTGACAAATTAAAAGTCCTTCAGCATATACCCTACTGCATTGCCATTAAAAATAGTAAGTAATACAATACATATATTAAGTTTAATAACGTCACAACAATGTTAATAATGTCACAGTATTTTTTTTATTGTTTCAAATACAGGCTGTCAAAGTCAGCTTTATTGTCAATTTAACCACATGTACAGGACATGTGTGACCCTTGGTGTCTAACATATAATATTAATACAAAAAAAAGTACTATTCAAAGAAAATAGTACTTGTACTATTAAAAATAGTAGTACTAAAAGTACTATCCAAAAAACTTCTATTCATCAAAGGATCCAGTGAAAAATATTTAACATACTTTAAAAATATTTAACACAGAGCTCTTTTTATCACTGATCAAAATAAATGGTGAGCATCAAATCATCAGATTAGATTAATTTCTGAAGGATTACGTGACATTGAAGAATAAAACATTTACGCTGAAAGTTCAGCTTGGCATTACAGGATAAAAAAGAGTTTAAGATATATTCAAATGTAAAATATAATTTTATATCTCACATTTGTATTACAATAACCATTTTATTAACAATATTTAATACTCTTACCACTTTTTACTATGTTTTCGATTAGACGAATGCAGTCTTTTTTCCCCATAAAATTAATTTATATTAACCCTAAGTAGGGTTGATTGAAAAAAAAACTAGTTTATTGCTATAATCTATCTTATTAGGACACAATTAATAATAAATAAAAATAGGAAATTTAAAAGAAAAATTGATTTATAATGTTTGTATCCCCCAAAATATGTTGCCCTTTTAAAGGGTTGAGTGAAAAGGTTATAATTCTTCGGGTTTGTGTCTATTGGTATGGATTGTTGCTTAAAAGAATTAACTTTACCCACCCTCAAGTAGTTGCAGAGTTTTGTGAGCTCCTTTTTTCTGTTGAACAGAAAAGAAGATGCTTTGATATTTGATATTTTTGAGAGAACATTTAAGTCAAGGGTATCAAATTCAGTTCATGGAGGGCCACAACCTTTCATAGTTTAGTTCTAACCTGGCTTCAACACATTTACCTGCGTTTTTTTTAGAAAGCCTGAAGCACTCAATTAGTTTGATCAGGTGTGTTTAATTAGGGTTAAATCTAAACTGTGCAGGGCTGCGGCCCTCCAGGAACTGAGTTTGACACCCCTGCTTTAAGGGATCTATATTTAAATAATAACCTCTGATTGGCTAAGCTCTGAACAGGTTTTTGATTCACTTACGAATGAAAATATCTGGTTGTATTTAATTGTGACTTTAAGGATTGCGTGGAGTGGATTTTTATTTGACGTGTGATATTTTTTTAACTGAAACACCAAGACAGGGCGGAGCATAAAGTAGCTCCTCCCCTTTATTAAAAGTCAGTTAATTGCATTTTGTTATTCTCACAGCTCTGCCAGTGACAGAAGTTGAGCTTTAACACATATAGAAAGGGGCGGGGCATGTCAGATACTAGAGGGCATTTGATTGGTCCGAAGATTTGATAAGTATGATGTGACATCACATTTTAGATTAATTACGGTGGAAGTGACAAACTGCAAACGTTTTAATGTTTATATCTTCTAAAGGTGAATTTTTCACTGTTTTGTAGCACACTAGTATGGAGAGAGATCAGTCTCAAAAATAATACTTTTACAAAATGAAAATTCATACAACTACAGCACAATTCACACTTACAAAATCCCATTTGTACATTTGTAAACACACAATTCGTAAATTCAGTAAATGTGAATTGTGTTTTGAAATTTCGAATTGATTTCTTTTATTTTTGAATTGTGTTGAGTTTGCAAATTAAATGTGTATATTTTTGAATCTCATTTGAAATTTAAGATTTGAATTTGTGTATTTAATTGTGTTTTGAATTTACGAATTCAATGAGGATGTTTATGAATCAAGTTTTAAATATACAAATTCAATATGTGTATTTCTGAATCATGTTTTAAATTTACGAATTGTATTTGTGTATTTACGAATTGTGTTTTAAACTTACAAATTGGATTTGCGTATTTTTGAATCGTGTTTAGAATTTGTAAATTGGTTTTGCGTATTTTTGAATCGTGTTTAGAATTTGTAAATTGGTTTTGTGTATTTTTGAATCGTGTTTTGAAATTATGAATTGGATTTGTGCATTTTTTAATCTTTTATTTTATAATTTATGAATTGGATTTGCGTGTTTTTTAGTTGTGTTTTGAATTTGCTAATTTTTTTTTAGGCAGACATGACAAACAGCAGGTTTGGATATTTGTATTTTCTAAATGCAAATTTGGTCACTGTTTTGAATCACACAAGCTTATAGATATCCTTAAGATTAAGGTACTGAAACTAACATCTACTTTGACAGAGTCTGTGAGAAAATGGTTTATAAATGCTGTCAGTTCTGATTTGCATCATATTTTTTAAATAAAAAGACTCTGTTTTGAATTCTGCCACTAAGTCACTAAACCTGAGGGCTGTAGTTATTTACCTGAGTACAGTGCATGCAGTCATGTGTGTTTGTGGGATGTTATATGAACTTGTGTGTGTTTGTTTGTGGTCAGAGCTTGGCAGAGAAACACCAGAAGACACTGGCGTTGCTCCGCAAACAGCAGACGGTGATTCTTGACGATGAGCTGATTCAGTGGAAGAGACGTCAGCAGCTGGCTGGAAACGGCGGCCCGCCTGAGGGAGGACTGGACATACTACAGTCATGGTGCTCTTATTCACTTAGCCATCTGATTTATGACCAGGGCTTGACATTAACACCCGCCAACCCGACAAATTACAGCTAGATTTCAGCTGTGGCGGGTTAGACAGCTAATCCCAATAGCCACTTTGGCTGGTTTAAAAGAAATTTGTAATTGTAGTTTTTTTGGTAACACTTTATAATAAGGTTCAGTAGTTAATGCATTTACTAACATAAACTAATCAAGAACAACACATGTACAGCATTTATTAATCATAATTGAACATTTACTAATGCATTATTACCATCCAAGTCCATGCTTGATAACATTAGTTAATGCACCATGAGTTAACATGAGCTAACAATGAACTACTGTATTTTCATTAACTAAGGTTAACTAACGTTAATGTTAGTAAATGCATTAATTAACATTAAATAATGAACCTTATTGTAAAGTGTGACCTTTTTTTTTTTTTTTAAACAGGGTTCAACAATAAGGATGGCCTGGGGACCATCTGAGATATGCTTAAGATAGTAAACAGGATTGTCAATGGTCTGATCGGGCCAGTGCTGGCTTGTCCCTAAAGATTAGAGTTTTAATTTATGTCCATTTGTCAATATGCATGCAAATGTGATCTTAGCAGTGTTCCCACTCTTCTTAAAAATACTTAAATTTCAGACATATCCCAGCAGGCATACAACATCATAAGACATTAATATTAGATGAGGTTTAGGTTGTGAAATCAGGTGACCAATATTCAATGTCTAACTAGCTTCTAGGACAGTGTTATTTGACGTCCAATAACGACATCAAAGGATGTTGATAGTTGCTTAATTTTAGTTTTTGTTGGAAAGTTACCAAAATCCAACGTTTGATTGACATTATAGTAGTAACGTCCACACAACGGACATTGCCATCTGCCAGATGGTGGATTTTGACATCAGAATATTCCTACGGCCCCATGATGTTGGGGTAGAACGTCAATCTGACGTCATGTTGACATCCTGTGCCTGCTGGGATGGATTCAAGGCAAAGACCATAGAATACACAAGACATGTCACTCATATAGTTTTGAATGGGGAAAAGTGTAACTTATGACTTCTTGATGTTAGACTAGGGACTGAAGTAAGCAACATTTATATTGTGGCAATTTTGTGTAATATGGGAAATAAAGAAAACCATGCATTGACCAAAATACTGCCAAAAAGAGGATAATTTATTATACAGAAATCGAAGATAAACAGAAAATAGTAATAATTAACAAGAGTATTATAGATAACAACAAATAACCACAAAAGGCAAATTATTTACAATTTATAATAACAAAATAATCAAAAAATAAACCTGGCAGGGGAAGAAGACAAGTGCCGCTGAAAGAAAAGAAAATAACAAAACCGAAAATCAAACTAACTCAGTATATCCCTTTTTCCTAACTAAACACAAAAGATTCGAAAGCAAGTGTTTGGCGTTTACACACCCTAACTTACCTACTCTAATCTTAACCAAACAGAATTATACAATGCCAGCGCTCACTCCTAAACCTGGTGTGCCTGTACACAGGTCCGCTAGTTGATGTAAGGATGTAAGTCACCTGACATCTACCTCTCCAAATCCCCCTGGGGAAAATAAAGGACATCAACAAATGATCTCAAATAAAGAATAAAAAAGAAAATGAATGAAAAATAAACAAGATGGAAATAACAACTTTGGCAAAACAATTATCAAAATAAGGGGAGGCAGATTAAAACAAAGAACAAAACAGGAACACATAAGCATCTGTCCGGCGTCCTGCTTGTCGTCTTTTTAAAAATTTGGCAACCACTCAGATTGGCCGCAGAAGCTGCCACGTCACCGAAAATAATGATGATTGACCAATCCTACAGCCAATAACAATCCGAAGGGGGTTGAACCTGTGAAGCCTAAAGAGAGAGAAGCGAGGCGGAGACAAAACAAGCACGCGTGTGCGCAAGATAGAGGGAGAGAGAGAGTGAAAGAGAGACACACATGCAGAATTCCTGGAGTGTAGCAGTAATGGTCAATGTAGCGAATGAAGTCCCGCCTTCTAGTACAGGAGCCAATCATCAATCACTATAGACCGATGATTGTTCCGGAAAGGGGCTCGAACCAGACATGAGTTTCTGCAAATTTTGTGTTATTCTGATGTTTAGAAATTAAAAACTAAAGAGACGATTGTTGCACAACTTTATTGGTGATTCCTAATATGACATTTTATCGTAAGCTTGGTAAGCAATTTTGGAGAATTTGATGTTTTCCCATTCAAACAGAATGCCTGAGCATACTGGCATTTCAGAAATGGCCGCTGAGTAAAACGACTCGCCTTAAAGGGAATTTCTTCAAGGCCTGGAAAGTAGTTAAAAACAAACACAAATCTTTGAAAGTGCTTGAGTTAAATTTGAAATTAAATTTTATTCATGGTGTAATTTCAACAATTGTACTTAATTGTCAAAAAATGTTCAGAAAATGTTCAATTTAAATCTTGTATAGTAACACTGACAAATAATGCACAGTTTATCAATATTTCAGAAGCTTTGTTAGAATATCACCAGTATGAAATTAAACAAGTTTTTATTAAAGTTCTTTAAACATGACTTTTTAAAATGATAAATGTTTAAAAATATAATTGTTAATGTAAATATAACTGTGTAAGTGAACTGTTAAGTAAAGTTTAGAGTAAGGACTTATATATGTGCTATATATGGGGTATGAATTTCAAAGGTGCTTGATTTAAAATTAATGGGTCTTTAAAAAGTCCTTAAAGTCCACATCAACCGGAAGCTGCAACCTAATAATATTAAATGTATTAAACATATATTAATAATCTTAAATGAGGAAACAGTGGCCGTGGCTTTTTTTTATTTTTATTTTTTATTACTGCAAACTGAATTTATGTAGTAGAGTAGGCGTTTCATTAAGAAAGATCAGGAAATTGGTTTGGGGAGAGTTATAACAATCTAACAGACACCTCCTACTCACCATTTCTGTTTGTTGTCAAAGCTGATCGTTGGAAGGGCGTGGTTATGTATGTTAGCCACGCTGAATACCTAAAACATATGCAATCTGACAATTTAGTAGTGAACTATCATTACTAATGCAGTGATTGAACAGATACTATACTGTACTTTGCGTTCTCCCGTTTTCTTGTGTGAAGCAATTGAAAACTTCTCTTTGAAATAGACTGGACAAAAAGCAATACTCATGCACCAACAGTCCTGCTGCTTTCGACAGTGCCAGAATAAAAAAAATAAAAAAAGAAGTTTTGTTTTTGTAAGCAGCTTTAACTTTAATGCTTTAACTATTCTTTGAACAGATTAGTAATGGACCTAATGTTAACCGTGTGCACGTGATCATACTTTCATTATTGCACACAGTATGCTTTTCACCTGCTTACAGTTCTATATTTTGTGTGTGTGTTGTTTTGTTTTGTTTTACTAGCTTTATTTTATTTATTTATTTTATTATGTTTTTTTTTTTATCAGATTTTACCCCCCGAAATTAATATATTGACTATAAATAGGGCAAGACTGTAAAGATGAATCTGTTCTATTTATCATCTTATTTGGACAAAAATAATATATAAATAAACACTACTAGACTATACTAAACTATTTACAATGTTTTATTTTATTTTATATAATTTTTATAATTAATTATTATATATTTTTTATTTATAAGGGAAAAGCTCCACAAAAGTCCCTGTAGGGAGTTATTTTCTCTGGAGGCACACTTGTCCCCTGCGTATACAGTAGCTAAATAAAGCATCACGCAGTATAACAGTTATGTAAACAATTAGAAGCATGTGCATGTTGTGCTTTCACACAAAACAAAACGTTTGCATTAACGCAACCTATACACAACACTTGTAGATGTTTTTGTTTGACGTGTGTTTGTGTGTCTGTGTGTGTGTTTGAGCACAGGTGTGAGAAGCTGGCAGAAACCATTTGGCAGAACCGTCAGCAGATCCGGCGAGCTGAGCATCTGAGGCAGCAGCTGCCCATTCCAGGTCCCATTGAAGAGCTGCTGACCGACCTCAACAGCACCATCACAGACATCATCTCCACTTTAGTCACCAGGTGTGTGTGTGTGTATGCGTGAGAGAGAGAGCACTGAAAACAGCATTGACCAGTACCAGTATCTATCGTTACCCTGTAATCGACATCATGGATTTAATTATTACACTTATCATACACACTGTTACATATTATATACATATACACTTGTTTTATATATTGCTGTAAGGAGTTTTTAGATTATTTAAATATATACTGCACTGAATTCAATTTAACTTTGTTTGTTTCAATTCAGCCCAAATAAATTGTTTGCAACCTCTTCAAAAACTTTTAGAAAATCCAATGAATATTTTTCAGTGTGTAAAGATATGAAGTAAATACTTGAGGATAGTTTCCATCATTTTATCATTCATCATATCGTTATTCATGTCACTGAATACCAAAAATTATCATCTTCATGCCATGAAGCTCCATTCTAAGATGTAAAAGGCATCTACGATCAAGGGCAAAATTATTTTAGATTCTTTTTTAATTAGTTCCTAGGTCATGTTTACCAGAGCAAGAAAATAAATTTTTTTAAAATAAAAATTAACTTTGCTAAAAAACAAACAAACAAAAAAACTGCAAATAAAAATCAAGCAGTGCAAAAAAAAAAAACTAAAATATCTGCAATTTAATATATATAGTCAGAATTATTAGCCCCCCTTTGAATTTTATTACTTTTTTAAATATTTTCCAAATTATGTTTCACAGAGCAAGGACATTTTCACATTATGTCTGATAATATTTTTCTTCTGGAGAAAGTCTTAATTGTTTTATTTTGGCTAGATTAACATTATTAGGTCAACATTATTAGCCCCTTTAAGCTATATTTTTTCTCGATAGTATACAGAACAAACCATCATTATACAATAACTTGCCTAATTACCCTAACCTGCAAAGCTATCCTAATTAACCTAGTTAAGCCTTTGAATGTCACTTTAGGCTGTTTTAAAGTGTCCTGAAAAATTTCTAGTAAAATATTATTTACTGTCATCATGGCAAAGATAAAAAAAATAGTTATAATAAATGAGTTATTAAAACTATTATGCTTAGAAATGTGTTGAAAAATCTTCTCTCTGTTAAACAGAAATTGGGTAAAAATAAACAGGGGGCTAATAATTCTGACTTCCACTGTGTGTGTGTTAGCGTGCATGTGTGTGTGTTAAGTTTGGGGTTATTTGTAGTTTGCTGAAAGATGTTTGTTAATTCTAATAAGTTCTCATTTTAATATTTGAATATTTAAAGGTTGAGCATAAATAACACTATATATTTATGCTAATAATAAATATTTATGCTATATATTTATGCTAAAAACTCCATTATACCCAGTTAAAAAATATAACAGCATAAAAAAGTTTAACAAAACACAAAATAAGTATTTTGTGTTACTTTCGATTGATTCAAATCATAATCATTTACTCATCCTTCACCTGTCACAAACATCATTTTTCTTCTGCTGAACACAAATGAAGATATCTTAAAGAGATCTGAAAACCTGTAACCATTGACGTCCATATTATTTGTATTTGCTATAATGGAAGTCAGTGATTTCATTAGTTTTCAGCGTTCTTCAAAAGATCTTCTTTTGTTTTCAGTAGAAAAAAGAAACTCATTAATGTTTATAACGACTTGAGGGAGAGTAAATAGTGGTTAAATGTTCATTTCTATTACTTTAATAAACATCCTTCAAGGTTGAATGCATTATAATATTTTAAACATATTTAAACTCCACCTGTATAAATACTTTTTTCACTGCACTGGCAAAAAAGGATTCTGTAACGTGAAAAATTAACAATTTTTTAGTTCAGTTAGGTTTGTGCTGTATGGATTCAGAATGACTGATTGCACTTGGCTGTGCAAATAACTCATGTACAGTATCAAAAATGATATGACAAAAGTCATGATGTTGATTCATTCATTCATTTTCTTTTCGGCTTAGTCCCTTTATTAATCTGGGGTCACCACAACGGAATGAACTGCCAACTTATCCAGCATATGTTTATGCAGCAGATGCCCTTCCAGCTGCAACCCATCACTGGGAATCATCCATACACCGCCATTCACACACATACACCATAGACAATTTTAACTCACCCAATTCACCTAAACAACCACATGTCTTTGGACTGTGGGATTGTGCGATTGTGCTACCCACTGCACCACCGTGCAGCCCTAAAAAGTCATGAGAATAGATATGTTTATATTACTTTATTTTAATCAGGTTTTTCAACTTAATGTTTTTAGTCATATAACGTTTAACCTAAATCTGCAATAGGTGCAATAGGCCGATTATGTAAACCTTTCTGTGTGAACGGGGTGTGCAAAGGTACTTAACATGCAGGTAGGACAGCCTATGGTAATGTTCAGACAGAATGTTGGACAGGCTTTTCTTGGTCCTACACCTTTTACAGAATATTAAAATACATAAAAATACACTTGAACCATTTAATTTAATGACTGCTATCAGGATGTGAGGAAACTTTCAACCTGAAAGAATTTTCGCTATGCTGAAGACCTTTCGCATGTTTTTAGTCAGCTTGACTGATTTAAGTTGAGATGACTAGAAAAGTTCATTTGATTCAACTAAAATATTCAGACAGCAGTCATTTTATTCAGTGTACATATTTATGCTACTTTCCTCATACATTTGGAAGCTCGAATCCCTCAGTCTTTTTCGTATCACTGAAAGAAATATCAAAACTGGTTTGCAACAGCATGAGTAAATAGTGACGCAATGTTCCTTTCCGGCTGAACTTTAACTTCCCTTTCACATTGGCCATTCTCACATTTTACCAGAAGAAAAAAATGCGCATCTCATTGGCACATGAAGGAGTGTTTGTGTGTTGCTCACCCTGCATGTGCTGGAGTGAGTTTGTGTGAAATCAACAGAGCCTGCTTCTCCGAGAGATTCAGGCGTCACTTTCATGGCACACCGGGAATGTCTGCAAACTTTTGCTGTCCTCCTCTAATGCCTCATGCTGGCGGTGTTCACACTTATCGCAGGGGATGAAGGCGGAGGCTCATTCATGTGTGTGTGTGTGTGAGTGTGTGTTCAGAGCCTCAGGCCTCGCTGTCACTGAAACATTGAGCTAATGGGAGCTGTGCTTTTAAAAAACCTTAAGTGTCTGAATGCATCTCTATCACGCTGTCCAGCATAGCGCGTACTGTATCCAATCTCAATTGCTACAAACTAGGTGGAGATTTCGCCTGGTTAGGAATGCAAAGGCATAAATATACTGTATATACAGCCATGTATATATACTGTTTGTATATATAAACTCACCGCCACTTTATTAGGTACACCTGTCCAACTACTTGTTAATGCAAATTTCTAATCAGCCAATCACATGGCAGAAACTCAATGCATTTATGCATGCAGACATGGTCAACACGATCTGCTGCAGTTCAAACCAAGCATCAGAATGGGGACGAAAGGTGATTTAAGGGATTTTTAACGTGGCATGGTTGTTGGAGCAAGATGGGCTGGTCTGAGTATTTCAGAAACTGCTGATCTACTATGATTTTCACACTCAACCATATCCAGGGTTTACAGAGAATGGTCAGAAAAAAAAGAAAATTTCCAGTGAGCGGCATTTCTGTGGGCACAAATGCCTTGTTGATACCAGAGGTCAGAGGAGAATGGCCAGACTGGTTCCAGCTGATAGAAAGGCAACTGTAACTCAAATAATTGCTCATTACAACCGAGGTATGCAGAAGAGCATCTCTGAAAGCACAACATGCCCAACCTTGAAGCAGATGGGCTACAGCAGCAGAAGACCACACCGGGTGCCACTTCTGTCAGCTAAGAATGGTTGAGCTCTAGTGGATCAAATGAAAAGCAAATGATAAGTGTCTTGAAGGGGGCGGGGCATTACAAATACTGGAGAGCATTTTATTAGTTATGATTTCATGAGAAACTGTAGTATAAGTTGATGTCAATAAAACCGTTGATCCATTTAGGCGAAGGTAACAAACTACAAGCTTTACATGTTTATATATATATGTCTATATATATATGGTTATAGTTTTGTATCTTCAAAGCACGAATTGTGTCACTGTTTTGAAGCGCACTTGCTATCTAAAAAAATTATTTTAATTTCATGGAGCCTTTAATGCACAGCTAACTGTGGATTATACCTTATATACGTGTGTGTGTTTTTCCCGCAGTACTTTCATCATCGAAAAGCAGCCGCCTCAGGTGCTGAAAACACAAACGAAATTTGCAGCGACGGTGCGTCTGCTGGTGGGCGGCAAACTCAACGTTCACATGAACCCACCGCAGGTTAAAGCCACCATCATCAGCGAACAACAAGCCAAGGCCCTTCTCAAGAACGAAAACACCAGAAAGTGAGCAGAAACGCAGATTTGCATTGCATTTAGCAACTCCTCTGGGTGCATGTGATGACTCACTCATTGTGCACTGGCGAAATATGCCTGGAGCTGCTAAAACAATGCATGTTTACTTTTATCCTTCATTTACTAACACAGTTTGTTTTTTTTAATCCGCAAGCCTTTTTGCATGCGTTCAATAAATTTGAGTTAAAATGCACATTTTTGACTGTATGAGCACATGCGTTCTGTGTTTGTGGAGGTTGTTGATGTGATGTTACAATTTCACTGTCACACATGACAAGAATGAGTATAATTATTATTGTTGTCATTTAAAATATAGTAAATAATTAGATTTCTTTGTTCCATTGACCTGTAGTTATAAAAACTGCTGTCTTATTACAGTTTTTAAAACATTTTTGAGTAAACCTTTAAAACTCTCAAGCATAGTTTAAATTGTTTTTATTAAAAATAAAATGGTAAAATGCTTAATAATTACCCCAAGCCTAATTTAAGGCATATTGTTTGCTTTTTTCCATCCATATATTTCTAAAAACAGGAACTTGATACATTTAGCTACTGAAAACCATGTCCTCTGGTGTGACACTAATACTTTATGCTCATTTTAAATTAGGCAATTCCACTCAAAACTTTATTTAATTGAAGAACCCCATTAAGAATCATGTGACAAGCTTTCTGTGACCTGTTACGTTTTTGTCGTATCTTCAACTTTTTTGGAACCACTTTAAAAGTTGTTAAGTTTTGTTGTCATTTGGTGTGTTTAACCTGTTCATTGGTAATTTACAAATTGTGGAGAATAAAATAGTATTCATAATTTCATATAAAATGAGTCACACTATGAGCCCTGTCAGACACCCGGCACAATAAGGTGCAAGACGTGTTTGGCAGGATTTATTGCTATTTTCAGACCAGCACAACCGTAATTTTTATGATTTGCGCCACATTGTTTAAAAAGCAGATCCATTTGCGCAGATTGCGCTAGTTATGTGCCTATGTGATTATATAATGGTACACATTGCTTAACACATACATGATGTACAGCAATACACAAATATCTTTACATTGGGAACAAAATAAAGGGTTAAAATTTTACAAAATTTATTATTTTTTACATAAAAATAAAAACGACTGCCTCCATGACTTCTCCATGCCCCGGGGGCTTTTTTCAGCTTATTCATGACAATTTCCAGTTGTATAATGGTATTATTATCATTAGTATTATTTATTTTTATGCATATTTATATTTGTTTTAATAAAAACCAGTTTAGATTTGTCCACCTGTTGGACGTGAGAGGCGCAAGAGGACGTGTGTTTGGATATAACTCAGTTTTCATAGTTTGTTGTTATTTTTTATAATAATAATATTCTTTTTTATTTTTTGGTTTGCTGGAAACTAGAACTGAGAAGAAAATACTTAGAAATAGTTTTGAAACAAATTTTTGTGCTTAACAAACAAAATTAAATCTGTAGGTAAAATATAGTCTTCAGTGGACTGAGTTTCCACAAATTCCTTACTCCACAAAAGTAAAGGAGTAAAGTAAAGAGTAAAAGAAAAGTAAAGAGTCTGAATGGAGGAGGCTCATTCTTTATTCTTGCGCTGCAGATGGTCTTTTTAACTGTTTTCTTGTTATTGAAGCATTCAGGTTTCCCCTTACAAGGTCTGCCATGTAAATAGCAAATGTGCCATGGCGTGACGCAACTGACTCTTAAAGAGAATGGGAGACGAGACTCTAATTGGTTTAATGCATGTTATGTTCAAAACACACCCATCACTTATTAAGAGAATAAGCACAGCCCTGTTAGACCACTTTTCCACACTTGCAATAGCAAAAGTGGATTCAGACTCGCCCTTAATGCTTTTGCGCCATGCACTTTAGAATATGCGCCTAGATGGTTAAAATAGAGCCCAATACTTTTAGTGTCTAACCATTAAGATAAATCACTTGCATTCTATTTATATATTATTTATAGTTTTATTTTTGATATGTCACACTAGGCCATAGTTAAGGTACCATGTAGTAATTTATTTAATAATAAAAAGTGAAAGAATCGATCAAGTTAGTGACCCCTTATATAATCGTAAACATCAGACTTCAGCGTACATATACTGTAAAAAATGTAAAATGACAAAAAGTCAAGACAACAAATATTTTGTTGCTTCATCATATTTTAATACATTAATCAGATTTCAACTACATTTTTTAAGTTATGCAAAGTTTGACCTATTATTTTCTTGTCTGATTGATGAATTTAAGTTGAGATCACATGAAAAGTACAGTTGATTCAGTTCATGTTTATGTATACATTAGTGAAATTTGTTGCTCTCCACTGTCCACTGGCTTGCTTGGTTTTGGTACTTGTAGAGCTGATGGATAGGTTTCGACTTTCAACAGTGAATATTAAACCACACTGAACTGTACTAAACTGAACTTCAACTCTGAAAACTGGACTGACACAGTTTTAGTTTACCAGTACTTCTATGTTAAGCTGCTTTAACACAATCTACATTGTAAAAGCGCTAAAGAAATAAACCTGAATTGAATTCATCCAGCAATATTTTTTTACAGTGTAAATATAATGTTTTACAATTTTATTTTTTTATCCTCATGTGTATTTTCCAGCGACAGCAGTGGCGAGATCTTGAATAATAACTGTGTGATGGAGTACCATCAGACCACAGGCACTCTCAGTGCTCACTTTAGGAACATGGTAAGTACACCTAAGGCTAATTTTGGACAAAACTCCTGAGTGTGTCAACTTCAGTGATCAAGTTTCTAAGTAAACTGTCAGCAACCATTTATGTTTATTCATAATTTACTCAGCCTGCTCAGAGAACAGCAGTGTATTCCTGATTAAGCATCAAAAATGAATTCGGTGAACACTAAGTAACAGTACAATCCTGACTTGTGAAGTAAATGTTTGTATCATAGTTTAATGGAACATTTGGACTAAATATGCAGTTTGAATATCGGCACTTTGTGTTATCATATTTAATGCATTAGGCTTTTATGGCTCATATAGTATTGTCGTGAGGGAACGAAAAGGAAAGCATTAGGCTTTTATGGCTCATATAGTATTGTCGTAAGGGAACGAAAAGGAAAACAGTCAGCCAGTTATAATTATTGCTGCCATTTAAACCAGATGAGGAACAAGCAAAAGTCTAATAGTGACTAACCACTCGTTACACACCAATTTTCTTTTCACTCTCCTTCATTGTGTGCTTTCTTTCTCACTTCTCCTTCAGTCTTTGAAGAGGATCAGGCGTTCAGACAGACGGGGGGCAGAATCTGTTACAGAAGAGAAATTCACCATTTTGTTCGAATCACAGTTCAGCGTTGGTGGAAATGAGCTGGGGTTTCAGGTGAAGGTGAGACATTTATGCGTTCATATTATGTTTATTAAGCCTGGTGTGCTGTTGGGGATGTTTTCATCAACTCCTAGGTAATTTTGAGTCCTTATTTGCCCATAACTTTCTCTGTGTTTCAGCAAACGGAATGAATCTTGGTGGCAAATCTTATTGTGACAGAAATTTTGGAAAAATGCTTTGAAATTTTTCACAAATTCTGAAATGCACTCTAGGCAAATTGACTACTCTTTCGTTATGTTGGTGGCTGTTTTTGCCCCATTGACTTCCATTATTGATTGCAAATCCATGACAGCATATAATCATGCATTCTTGATTGTTTGTTGATTTTCCACATTGGAAAGAGGTAAAATATAGAAGCATAGTAATATAGTAAGTGTATGTATGTATGCACACTATAATCTGCTGTTTTACTCTATAGAACTCCATATAAAAGCCAGAGCTTTTATATAGAGCTAAAAGTGCTTTTGCTCTGGCCTATCTAGCATGATTATATGCTGTCATGGCTTTGCAATCCAAAAATGTCATTATAATATAAGTCAATTGGGCAAAAACAGCCACCATCACAACAAAAGGGTAGTCAATTTGAACAATACACAAGGGGCTAATGTGAACATTTTTTACTTTCAATTTGATCAATAAAATGTAGTTAAAATGAGTGAAATTTGACTCCAAAAACGTGAGCAGTAGTACCTAAAAATGATACTAATAATTACAATATATTTGATGTAATCCACAGCTTAGTTTCAGAGTATCTGTGGGGTCCTAGAAAGTCTTACATTTCAATAATCTGAATCCACTTTTGCTATTTTTAGGATGGAAAAATATGCTTTGCGCCCTGACGCATGGTCTAACAGGGTTGTGCTTATTCACTTAATGAGTTATGTGTGTGTTTTGAGCATAATGTGCATAATTAAACACATTATGCATAATAACGCATTTGTTATTTACATGGCAGACTTTGTAAGCAGAAAAATTGAATGTTTCACTAGCGAGAAAACAGTTAAACAGAGCATCTGCAGCGCAAGGACAAAGAACAAGCCTCCTCCATT